TCACGGTAATCGATGCACATACGCATTGAACCGTCTTTCTTTTTGACAAATAGTACTGGAGCACCCCAAGGAGAGGTGCTCGGTCGGATAAAACCTTTATCAAGAAGTTCTTGTAGTTGATTCTTTATTTCTTTCATTTCAGCCGGAGCCAGACGATATGGCGTCCTAGCAATCGGCGTTGCATCAGGAATTAAGTCAATTCGAAATTCAACTTGTCTATCAGGAGGTAAACCGGGTAAGTCTTCGGGAAATACATCCGGAAATTCGCACACAACCGGTACGTCACTAACCGTTTTCTTTACCTCTTTCGACGCATCAAGAATATAGGCTAAATAGGAAGAACAACCTTTAGATAGGTGTCTTCGAGCTTTAAGCGTAGAAATCAACTTTACGTCCCCTTTATGCTTTTCACCGTAAACATATAAATAGTCGACGTCGTTCGGTATACGGATTATGCGTTGAAAACACATAATATCAGCCCGATTCTTAGCCAACCAATCCATACCAATAATTATATCAAAGCTATGGGTATCCATCGGTACAAGATCTACGAAAAACTCATGCTCATCTAATTGCAACACACAATCTTCGTAAACTTTATCAGCTAGCATAGATGTGCCATCAGTAGTGTCAACGTAAAAAGATTTAGCAAGCACATATGGCACAAAGTTTAAACATCGAGCAAACGTATGAGAAACGAATGAATTAGTAGCACCAGAATCAAATAAGATACGAGCGGGATGAGAATTAACGAGAAATATACCCATAACCACATCCGGTTTATCTCGAGCTTCCTCAACAGTGATTTGAAAAGATCTGGCCTGGACGTGTGGTACCTCATCCTTTTGACGAACAGCACCACTAGTAGAAGGTCGGCGAACAGAAGCCTTACTTTGCTCAGGTTTAGATCGAGGGCATTCTCTTTGACGATGGCCTATAGCACCACATGAGTAGCATGTCATATCCCTCCTCGGGTAGTTCGGTCTCACGTGTCCAACTTCACCACAACCATGACATCTAACTTCAGGGCGAACAGTGTTGCATCGGCCCCGATAAGCCTTACCGCAAACAGAACAGGGTGGAGGAGCATTGGACTGAAGGCTATAAGCTTGGGACCAAGATTGAGGTCGCGATCTAGCTTGGGATTAAGCGTATCTCGGATTGAAATTCCTAGAAAATTGCTGTGTTGGTGCAGATATGGCACCTTCAATTCGAGGTCGCTTGGCTGGCGGAGCTGGATTACGATCCGAGCGGGTCAAATCGTGTTCACGTCGTCGTGCAGATTCCACCGCTTTCTCAAACTCTAAAATATCACGATTGGTGACGACATCTCGAATCTCTGATCGCAATCCGTCTAAAAAGTGGTCTACACGTTCCTGTTCTATAGTCAAGAAACGTGTGGCAAACTGTGCTTTATGATTAAACTCGGTCTCGTAGTCCACCACTGACATCTTTCCTTGATTAAGATCAAGAAACTCCTTCTCCAATCGTTTTTTTAGATCAATTGGACAATACTGCCTGTTAAAACGAGTTTTGAAAGACTCCCAARGCATACCTTCTTTTTCAGTTTCACCTAAAGCTGGAAAAGTAGCATTCCACCATATGAAGGCCCTACTTTGGAACATGGCCGTGGCATAATTCACTTTATCATCACATAACACTCGGGTGATACGAAAGACCTTCTCAGTATTCAATATCCATTCAAGTACCTCCAATGGAACAACCTTCCTAGAGAACTCAGTAGCACCGCTACCACGAAAGGTTTTAAAAGAGACTCGGTCGGTTTTGGGTTTTGGGTTTTGAGGTGTCAGCCCTTTCTTTCTCCTTGCCTTTACTTTTATCATCTTCAGACTTTCTATCGTCATGTCGTTGTTGGGCTAATGTTTGCTGAATTAATAAAGCCATACGTTGCATCAAACGTTCGCTTCGAGGAGACATCGGTGCCTCATCATCATAAATCTCCAGGTGTGGAGCGTTTTCTTTTACATTGTCGTTGGATGGGGTGTGACTAGCTTCATCACCGTCGGCCATCTTTCTGAAAGTTATGACGTATACATAACATTAAATAGAATCCTATAACAAATTCCCAATTCCCACCTAGGTTTCTCCTAAGTTCATATCCCTTTTAAATCAAAACATACTTACTACATGTTACCGACACAAGGTTTAAGTCCGGATATCGTCATTGGTATCCAGTTCATTTAAACCACCGCTCTGATACCAAATTGAAAGACCCCGGTTTACATAAATGATAAAAGGTTTGTAATACTTCATTTCTATAAATGATAAATAAACCACCAAAAGTTATATTTTTAAACCATTAGAAAGAAAACGGGATATAATATTTACGAGTTCCTAATTCGAAATGTCCGCTTGGTTTACAAGACGTTTCGGTAAGCACCTGTTTTCCAAAATATCCTAAAACGGACAAAATAAACTTAATAGATTTGCATAAAGCTTAAACTATATACAAAACAGAGGACATTAGCTACCCGTTATCTAGATATTTTAATTACAACCAAAAGACAACTAATAATTTACAATCCATGGAAGTCAATGATCACGAAGGATGTAAATCATGTAATAAGTAATCATCATTCGAGAATCATACATCTGAATATCAAAGTATGCAACAAATAGATTGTGTGAAAGTCAATAATTGATATGTACTGCCACTGAGCTATCCCGGTCGTGGCAAGCACAAGAATATATATCATAGAATCATACCACCCGAGCTATCCCGGCCAGTGGAATGATCTTCCCACACGAGCAATCCCGGACAGCAGAAAAAATGACCGAACTCTAACATGGTCAAATACGCACCATACTCGAGTAATCTCAACTGATATGGGCTTAAGCATGCCTCCCCGGGTGAAACACAAAGTAACCACCGAGTAGCATGTATGGAAGGACGGAGTGCAATAGCCAATAATCTCTTGAAATTGATAAGGAGACATAACATGGATGAGTGTGGAAGCAAGTAGCAAATAGATAACACATGTCTAGCTTATAGCAAGTTAAGTAGCCCCATAAACTCACAGTGCTTTTCGATATTCAAAAATCGAGCCAACTTAGGCTCTACGTCCATATACGTCTAAACATCGTCCAACGGTCACTCTGGAAAGACCAAGTGAGCTTATTTAACACCTGTAATATGTACCCAAAGTTTCATAAAGATCCGACAACAAAAACTTAACCAAACTTAATTTAAACTCATTTTAGGCACTATAATTCACAGCTCAAAATCAACTTTTTATCAGTTTTTAGACGCAATTATAACCAATCCAGAAGCCTTATTTCGAAAAGGTGTCTAAAGGACAGGTTTAGATCTACATACAAGATTTCTAAAATGTAAAGAATCATAGCAATCCGAGCTACGGTTAAGAAGTTATCGCACATTCAAAACAGCATCTCGGATAGATTTGGTGCTGTCAAATTCACCAACTAAATAGGCTAAAATCCATAWTKYGGATTCAATCTTTATTCCAACAATCAAAATACCATGTAACCATGTTTATATTATTGATTACAAGATCATTACTCACGAATTTCACCAAAATAGCCATTAATGAAGAAAATCAAAGTTCAACCTATATTCTTCATTTTCGAAAGCTCCAAATCATCAATCAATCATCATAACAACTTAGTTAGGATATAACCAATCTAAATACAATATATTACTAATATTATTCAGATTAGGTTTCATTGATTTCATCTCTAACCAGCTTCAAATCAAGAGATTAACCAATGAAATAGTTATACCTTAATTGGAGGATGAATTTGGCATAAAAATCAAGCAAAACCCCTTTAAACAACCTTGATTCACCCCTATGAAGCCAAAATCACCCTTGGTAGTAAGTTTTGGAGATGAGAGTCTGTTTTGGGTGAAAAAGAAGGTAAATAACATGTATAACCGACTTTTACGAGTTGGGACTGAGTTGACTCGGCTGAAAACTCGGTTTGACCACTAATCACTAAAAATCGCATAACGTTTYGCTYRGACCTCCGTTTTTGACGTGGTTTTCGCTCACGCGTTCGTAAAGAGATAATCTACAACTTACAATAGAAATATATCAAAAATATCTTCCAATAAAAGTCAGTTTTTATGTATCTGTAACGTAGATATTGATGTTTTTGACATGTTTCTTTCCAATTGTTTTACCACGAGCCTCGTATGATGATTCCGAATATTTCATATATAGTTTATTGCATTCGGGTTTGCTTCAAAATATTACGTTTGGATCACATAAACACGTATAAAGGGGATAATTGCAACGTATTTGCGAAAGTGTATGTTACAGGTAAAGGTTCAGTGGAAGTTTCACAAAGGATCGGAAGCAACATGGAAACTAGAGTTAAAGATGAGTTCAGAATACCCTTGGCTTTTTGATTAAAGGAATTCCGGGATGAAATTCTTTTGAGGGGTGGATAATGTGATAACTGGATCTTGGTTATCACCCGAGGTAATAAATATGTGATTATTTGTTACAAAATGTTTATGTGACAACATGATAAATTGTTATATTTAATCATGCTAGTATATGAAATTATATGCATAATATCGATACATGCATAAGATTGCATATGTGTGTGTGCATAATTAATTATGCGCATGATTATATATGTATATGTGTGATGGTATGTATGAAATCAATATCATACATAAGGGACGTATACATGCATGTGAAGGTTACATGTGGTAGCCGACTTTCCTGATTTGGGAAGGGTATAAAAGGGAAGCTTTAGTCTTCATAACATTTTTCCTGTCAAATTGAGAGTAAAGTGAGTAATTTAAGAGAAGAAAGAGTTGACCGGATTTGATGCTCATCTGCATTTCAGGAAAGTTTTTCCAAAAAGGATTCAAGGTGAGTGCTTTAATATTTTAACTTCAAATGTAAAGTAATTCTTTTGGCTTGATTAATATGTATTTTGAAAACTTGTTGTTACCCGGTTTTTACTTAAATTGGATAAAGCATGACCGGATTATTTTTAAACCGGTCAAGGCATATGCGGATTAAGCCCTAAACCGGTCAAGTGTTAAGCGGTTTAGTTTTAAACTGACCAAACATTGAGGTAGTTATGAATATTGAACTTATTTAACATTTTAAACGGAGAAGTATGAATACGACCATGTGGTGACTGGATTATTTTAACTCGGTCAAGTTGTGGACGATATATTGTCCGGACTTTTTATCCGGACAAAGATGTTGGAATTTATTCTAAGTGTTAAATCGGACAAACCTTGGGCGATGAGTTGTCCGGATTGGGTAAACCGGCCAAGACTTGACCTGAGATGAAATCCGGCCAAGCCTATGTTGACCAGATTTGTATTATGTCTTGTATGACTGATAAATTGTTATAAAATGGGAATTTTGATATAAATGATTTTGGATTGATAATAATTCCATTGACTGCGGTCTATTTGGAATTGTTTTGTGAAATATTTTTGATGAGGAAATAAGGGTGGCATATCAAGGAGAGGTGTACCATGGGATAAGGGTGTCATATGAAGGAGAGGTGTACCATGGGATAAGGGTGGCATATCAAGGAGAGGTGTACATTTGATATAAGGGTGGCATTTGTATGTGTGTGGTATGATATAACTCTTTCTATTATATCCCTTAAGACTACCTTGGTCTGGAATCTTTATTTCTTTGTGATTTAAAGATTTAGGATCAAGGTTCTTATTGGAAATCATAGTCTGGATTTTATTGAGAAGAAAATGCAGGTTTCGCCTGATACTTTAAATAAACCTTGTTGATTTGAAAAGGTTTAAAAATGGCATTATATGGAACCTAGTTGGTTCAAAGGTATCTGATTTGAATAATCTGAATGCTTGGCATTGAAAAGTGGAAAGGTACTGGTAATATTTCCCTATTTGTTCATATATTTGTTATATATATGAAAAGTTGTTTTTCATAAAGATTTTGGTGATTTTCACCCTGCAATAACATAAAAAGGGTATCTCACTAGACCTTTCGGTCTAACCCTCGTTTTGTGATTTTAAATATGTATTGCTGGAGGTATGAACGGTAAGGGAAAGGGGAAAATGTGATGTTTTCCTATATGCATTTCTACATGAAGATATGTCTTTGATGTACAGTCTTGATTGATGAACGATGATTAGTACAAGAAATGTATTTGAATTTTTGGACCTTGTATTCTGGAATGATAGATTCTTATACTAAGGGACCTGAATAATATATAAACATGTATTTCTTCTGTATGAAATATGTGTTACATGCAATGTGTGGTATGAGGTGTTACATTTTCAGAGTCAGCCGACTCATGTAATTGTCCACGTGCCCTTGAAAATAGAATTAAGCTCTTTCTTTGATGTAGGCTAAGGTATGCCAAAATTGTTGAAGGTAGACCAGAGGATATTCCGCCATTGCAGATAAGGCATCGGCAATTGGATGTCCTTTATGTATGAACGGGATTCTCGGGTATTCTGAAGGGATATCGAAATTGAAGTGATGGTTGTTTGGCTTTATGTCAAGGTATAAAATTTTGGGAAATAGGGTTTCATCAGGGATTATATTGGTAGCTGACCGGGAATAGGAATTATTTTTAGATCTGATGGAAGAGATTGGGTTCTCATCATCAAACCCTTGGGAATTCTGGTTATTTTCCGCAGTCATCATTTTATCTGTAAAAAGCAAACAAATTAGATCCTTAATGAAACAAAATATCACAAACTTAAAAATTTGACATAAAGTCCAAAACTATCACTGATTTTGCCAAATCATTTTAAAATTGCTCTCAAAGTTTTAAAAATAATGCTCTGGCTTTTTCTGCTAAAAAATTAAAAAAATTTAAGCACACAAAAACAAAATTCAAACGAAAACAAAAACTGTTAGACCCC